TAGAGTGAGTATGCAGACATGCTATTGAAGGAACACAATTCTTCAGTCTCTCTAACAATTGTCATGAAACATCAGCAACACACTGAACTGTGAAACAGAAAACTTTTATCTGCTTTGGAGCAACCTTCTGGAGGACGCTGGGTTGTCAGGGTAGCAATAGCCTAAAGTAATGATTACAGACCACCAAACTTTGCTCTTTTTGATGATTTTCACAATTCATTTGGTGCTATGATGTCTTTGTTATCCATAATAACAGGAGCTGAAGTAGATGCAAATACCTGTGATGATGCAAATGGCTAGGCACATCTCTTCCTCAGTGCTGAGGCAGCTGTTTCGTGCTCTTAAGTTGAATTTTTGTCTTTCAAAAACTGTCTGACAGAATAATACAGTAGTGCCAATATAAGCAACAGATTGTAACTGATGAAAGTACTGGAACGCCTCTCCTGTTGGCAGGGGTCACGGAGGGGATTTTCTTTCACAAAAAGGGCTGTTTCTGTAGTAGTTACTGTCTTGTATTTACTGAACATTTTCAATGCATTCCTCCAGTACTAATGCAATTTGCAGACCAAATAAAAGTGTATATCCACAAAGCTTTGCCAGTTGGCCAGTCATGCCTTCTGCTTCACTCCACTGCACTCTGAAAGCCAAAGGGTAAACTGATGCTTCCTGGTTGATTTCATATTGTTTTGAAATACTTATTCCCTCGGAACTTCCCCTTTTCTGCCTACTACAGATTCTTTGATTTATTGTTTTTTCCCTAGGTCAGGTGATAAGTTTTAATAGTTGTCTGTATTGACAGTGGGCTCAAAATCTTCTGTGGGTAACTCCATTTTTCAAAAGAAAATTACAGTATGGGCTGTCCTTGGAGATGGTCAGGCACCATTTGAGCCCTTTCCTCACTTGAATTTCCTCTGGAGTACTTCAGCTAGCTGTTATCTGTTTACATTAATTAATCTCACTGTAGGGATAATTTAATCTTACACACACAAAAAAGCTGAGTAATGCAGCTCCCTATCTCTCTATTATTGTGGGGGAAAAAAAAAATCCCTGAGGGGGATCACTGGGATATAAAGGTTTATGGAGGGAGTGAAGAGCATGCCTCCTTTACCAGCAGTAGCAACCTGAAACCAGTTAAGAAATCCAAGCTTTAGTAAAATGAGAGAGCAGTAAAGCTCCAGTATCGTCTTCAGCAATGTCGCACTGCTGTCCTTGCAAGGAGTTAAACTGTAGTCATCACTGGAACTGTTCATTGAGCTGTATATGAGAAGAAGCTCTGTTTCCACCCACCTGTCTGTATGTAAATGAGATTAATGAAGTCATTTTAGCAATCAATCCAGGAGAAGGCTGGGTGATTTGTTGGTGTTATAGGGGGGTGAGGTAAAATCCTGAAGGTGCTAGAAGCCCAGGGAAACCTCAGTCCTAAATGTGTCTGAGCTACCGTTTGAGGGGACAAAATAAAAATATATTAAAAAAACCCCACCAAAACAAAAAAAAAACCAAACCAAAAAATCCAACCAAACAAAAAAACTTTATACTAACAGAGTCTGTACTTTGGGCCTCCTCCCATTTATTTTGCCCATGAGACCTACTCCCATGGACGTGCTGTGCATCTGTCTGTAGGTCACCAGAAGGATGCACACACCGGCTTTGCTCTAGCAGGGGGAACGCTTACCCCAGATCTGTGGGCCCCATTTCCCCTATGGGAAAGTTGAATCAGCTACTGTGATCTGGGTAACTATGCACGAGCAGGACCTCTGTGCCCCTGTAGCCGAAGGTGAAGGCGTTGACTCTGATGGGTGGGAGACTTGGCAGGCATCTGAACACTGCCAGACTTGAAATGCTTTGCCTTAGGGAGGATCTCTAGGTGCTCTGGGGACATCTAGGACCTCCGAAAGGATGGTCAGCAGCTGAAGGGGCCACTGCACTCCAGGAGTGAAGGGGTCCTTGCACCTTGCCTCTTATCCTGTTGCCTGTGTTGAGAGGCAGGGGAAAAAGAGCTGCTAGAAAGAGGTCACTTCTGCAGTATTCACCAAATTAAATCACTTATTTAACCCCAAACTTGAACAATTTCATTATTGAGATAGGTTTTTCTGTAACATCTGCCATTTAGGTTTATTTTAAAATAGAAACAATTCATTATATTCTCATTGCATCCTGGTGTTTTTCTTTGGTAAAAATAGTAATTTTCCTTGGGCCTGTGGAGCAAATCAGTCATTAGCATGTGTCTTGGGGACAGCAATTAAAGGTGCTGCTTTCCTCTGTGGTGGGAGCTGGGGACAATGCCATTTTTAGAAACTGAATTCTGATAGAGATGCTCTGCTAGGTGTTAGAAAGTAGATGCAGGATGAAAATATTCTACACCTTGTCTGTTACTTTTTTTTTAAAATAAATTTTTAAAATGTCATTTTGTATAGAAAATATGTAAGATGACGAAACAAGACATTACTCAGAACTGAGGTAAAAATCCTAAGAAGGCACCTTATTGATTATAAACTTCTGATACTGTGCTTGAGCCTGAACCCAAGCAAGTCATGGTCAAAAAGAAAATGAGAGCAGTTTCTTCTCCCTGTAAATCAGATTCCAGTCGTGCTGGCTGACAGATGTTTTCTTTCCATACTGGGCTGCTGCTCCTGACAGCCTGGAACAACAAGAGCTAAACATCATCCTTCCACTCTTTAGCAGCAAAGTAGTTAAGAAATATTGGAGTATGCAAAGGCTTGCAGTTATATAACAAAAATCCCCAGGGTGTGGCTTTGCTTTCCTCGTGCTTGAATCTGTTAATAATCTGCAAATTCATACTGATACTGTAATCTGAATTTGGAACCATAATGTGTCCCAAATTCAGGCCTTTTTTTCCTCTTTCCTTTGTGTGCTACACCACACACATAATGAGTTAGAAATTAATTTTGACTGTCCTGTGTAGGCCTTTCTGGAGAAATATCACACTGGATTTATCCGCTGTTGTGTGTTATTTGCCGTTACTCAGCTTTTGATTAAAGGTCTGCTCCCTGTGTCACTGCAGTCCTCTCTCTCCGTTCTTACCCGTTTCATCTGTTGTTTGGATTTGGCTCCATCATTATTCTTCTTTTAATAATAATACTCTTCTGGCAAGTCCTGCTCTTTCTCCATTCTCTCCTCCTCTTTAATCTTGCCATGCAGTTTTCTTATTACAGGGTTTAAACAGGACAAGTGTGTTAGAAGGCCCAGAACACCTGAGGTTAGGGCAAATTTTAATGTAATACCTGCACTTCCTCGAAGGAGCCCTTCACTGATAAATGAATGAGCTGTATGCTGCTCAGTTGTGCTCTTCAGCTGAGACAGTGTCCTGAATCGCAGCTCCCTCGAGAAGGCTGTTTCATCAGACAAAAAAAGAATATAAATCAGAATTTGTAACCAGGGTATCTTGAGGTGCACACACCAACATTCCTTCATTTCTTTGCTTTCTTGCCTAGGGGTGAGAGTGTCCTCTTGGTTATGAGAGCTCCACGTCCTCCTCCTAACTGATACTAGCCCAGGACTTTGCAGGCCTGAAGGAGGGAGGGAGGGGGGACCAGCAGCTCCTGCAGTTAGACCGGACTGGTTCTCCACCTTCCTTCAACCTTCAGCTGTGCCAGACGTCCCTTAATCCAAAGCAGGGTTTAGGCAGCCCAGTGAGAGCAAGCAGAGTAAGGACACAAACTGCAGCAAGTGAAGGTGCCTGACACTTTTTTATGCCAACAGTAAAAATGCTTGTTTCTGCTAAAGTAGCATGTGGGAGAGGACAAACTGACAGTTTGAGTGTGTGTCCTTGCTTCTTGTTAGAGGTGATGATGGTTTTCAGTGTGGTAACAGAGACTCCTGTAATGTAAATTCAAGAACTCAAATGCAGTTGAAGCTGCAAGTGTGAATGAACGTATTCTTGCTTTATACAGGTGGGCCCCAGAGAGAGGCTGAATTCAGTTCCCACCACCATGTGAGCTGCTAGGATATTGTGTAGGTTCTTGAGGTCCAGATCAACACATTTTCATGTTGGTTCAGATAAAACAAAGCGGCTGTGGTGTGGGAGGGCTGGTCTCCCTCTGAGCGTGCCACAGCTTGCAAAAGCAGTTTGTCTGGGGAGCAGAGGAGGGCATAAACCTCTTGGTTATGGAGCATGTAGTTTCAGAACGAGAATGGTGAAGCAGTGATTTCTCTCACTGCCTGGAGAGCAGTATGGAAAGTTTTGTACCTGATGTCAGTGATCATCATCTAATTGAGTGAAGGTCTCTGAGCACCAGGCCACCAGCTGCGAGGAGCAGGACCCTGGAACCAGTGGGGGGACTAGTGTAGGCTACCTGGCACCAGACTTTGCACAGCTGATCTTGGTTTCTCATCATTCAGAATCTACAAGCTGCTGCTGGAGCACCGTGTTAAATAAATTCCTATGTGTTTATGGCCAAATGCAGCAGTTTCAAAGAAGGCTGGAGATACCTTTGGCCTTGCATGCTGACCAAGCTACTTCCCCACAGCTCTTGGGCCATCTGCTGTCACCCAGCGTCCTCCTCTGGCTCCTGTGCTGGCTCCCTACGTGGAGCTGAGGCAATCCACCAGCTTCTCCTTCATTACTAAAGGATCATCTTTGGATAAGGAGATTTACAGCTTGGCTTAATGGCTTGGCTCAGAAAGTGACTGGTGACCTGCTCAGAGATCCACCACTTGCCTGTCATGTTATCTTGTCTAGCTGTCTGGACAGAGGGAGCAGATGGGGGCTGCTTAAATTTAAAAAGGCTACTTACAGAGCAGAATCATAAGCTGTCCTTTTAGTGCCTCTGCATGGGGTAATGCTGTGTGACGTCGGGGAGGCAATAGAGCACTGCAGCTGTGTTTCAGTTGCTGGAAAAAAGGCAGGAAAGAGGCAGTGGGCACTGCAAGGTGCATCTCCAGCATCCAGATGCTAAAGTGCCTCCTCTGTAGCTGAAGAAAAGATGCAAAGTACCTGCCCTGAAACATTGGGATAAATGTCCTTCTGTCTTCTCTTTCAGGTCTGGATTTACAATGAAGATCATGAACTGATTTTAAATAATCTCCTTTGCTTGGATGTTTCGGAAACTCGCTCGTCTGATCCACCTCGTCTCATGAAATGCCATGGGTCTGGTGGCTCACAGCAGTGGACGTTCGGGGTAAGTGGAGTGGCTGGCATACAGAATGTTCCTTGTAATTAATGTCTCAATAATGACAGTAGCACTCACAGGATGTCAGGGTTGAGTTTAATTATGACCAAACCTCAGATGTACCAAGTCAGTTGTACTGGACTAGGCCCAGTCCACGGTCCAGGCAGCCTGTATAGAAGTTACAGGGGCTTTGGTGGCTGCATTTCAGCCTGAATAAGACTTGGCTGAGCTCTGGGACATGCAGACCCTTTCCTTTGCAACGCAGGAAGGTTTCTGCAGCCCTCGTTAGCCTTTTTTCTGTTTGTTGCAGTCACCTGCAGCGCTTGTGGCTCGCAGTGGCATGCCAGAGAGAGAATAAAATCCATCCTACAGCTCTTTGTTGTGTTGTGTTTGCAGGACTGGGAGACAGGAGCGGTCTATTTGGCAATTTCTGCTTGGTGCCTGAAGATGTGCAGGGCAGAGCTGAGGACTGAGGGAGGAGGTTTTTTGCAGCTGCTTCTGCCCTATAATTGCATCGTGTTAGTTTAATCACTTAAGAGTCCGGAGTGGCTGATTTCACAAAACTAAGCCAGTGCTGCATACGCATGACATTTGGCTCCTGGATATTAACTCCGAGGCTGCTCCCTCATATGCCCTCTACGTAGCAGTGAGTCTGTAGTACAAATATCACTGAACAAAGAGGAGAGCACTGACAGATCTGCCTGTTGCACTTCCAGGGCAGCTCTGGATAAACTGTCTTGTGTTCATACTGCGCTGCTTGTTGGCAGCATGAGTTCCTAAGTGCAGTCAAATAAGGAAGGCTCTTGCAGCCCAGGAGAGTTTGGACATACAGAGGCAGGTCTGGCGTGAGCCCAGGGTTGTGCATGTCTGAGGCTTGCAGAGACATCTCGCGGCTCTGCCACAGCCACGGCTGCAAATGGCAGTGGAAATAGCGAGCTCAAAAATTTTGCTGCTGCTAATAGATTATTCAGGGTTCTTCAGTTTGAGTTAGTGGACAAAGAGGCTACAAGACTTGGAGAACAGCCATTGAAATTCAATACACGTAACTGTTAGGAGATACCTGTGGAGGAGAGCGTGGGCTTCATGTGTGAAATGTGGCCTTTGAGCTGGCCGTCGCCCCTCGGTGGAGGAGGGGAGTCTGTAACAGTGTCTGATCGGTGCTCTGTAATGATCAACAACAAAATAAAGTGAGTCAAATATTAGGACTGATTAGGAAAGGAATAGGAACCAAAGCAGAAAATGTCATCATGCCATTGTGGTTTGCCTGAACTGTATGTGCTGGTTGCCTCCTCTCAGAAAGGCTAAATTAGGGCTGGAGAAGGTTCAGAGATGGGTGGCAGGGCAAAGCAAAGGTGTGAGGCACCTTTTGTGTGAGGAATATGTGAGCAGGCTGGGACTCTTTAGGTAAGTGAAGGCTTGTGGGAGCAAAGGGAAATACATTAGGCGTCACTGGTACAGAGAAGGGGCAACTGCCGTTAAGTCACAGTGCGAGACTCGGAGTGGGCAGGTGTTCTGGAGGGGTGTTGTGTGTTATTGTCCTGTTCTGGTTCACTGGACATCTGCTTATGGCCGTAAGCAGTGACACAGAGCCTGGTGTGGCTGTTCTCACGCGTTTGTTCCCTCTGTGCAGGAGAGCAGGAGGTTGCTGCTCATGGGAGCTGCTGGGGCTGCGCAGAGAACCCTTTCCAGACAGAACAGGGGCCCACAAAGTGCCCAGAGCAGCTGCAACCAGTTGTTAGTAGGGGAAGATGACAAGGTCTGCTGGGGTGAAAGAAAAGAGAAGGATCTAGAGAAGGATTTGTTTTCTTCTCACACTTGCCCTGGTTGTTGGGCCCCTCCATGTGCAAGAGGCCTGTCACGCTGGGTGGCAGCTCCCTCCCCAGCACATGGGTGCCAAGGGCAGTGGCGTTGGCCAGAGGCAGGGCAGGGACCTGGTTGTGCTGCCCTGTAGCCTTGTGGGCTCCCTCTTTGCTGAGCACTGGGGAATGGTTTTGATCATCCCACCACAGTATAAACAAAATGGGAACTGGGTCCCTGTAAGGATGTTGGAAGCCTTTGTGTCAAGGTCTGAACGTGGTGACGGGGTGTGCTGTGCTCTGGCTTGTAAATGGTGCTGCTGTGGGTCTGGTGTGTCAGGGAGGCTGCTGGGAGGCTCATCTGGCAAGAAGGAGCATCCCCTCCCCTTAACCATTGGTTTTGGCTTCACTTTGACTGTGGAGTAGAACAGAAGCTTTAATAAATTCCATCTGTCTTTCCTCTAGAAAAACAACCGCCTCTACCAGGTCTCCGTGGGGCAGTGCATGAAGGTGGTAGATCCACTCAGCCACAAAGGGTACGTGAGCATGGCCATCTGCGATGGGTCCCTTCCTCAGCAGTGGCATTTTGAGAGCTGAGACAACAAGGATGCAGCCGAGAAGCGTTAAGCCAAGACCTGATTCCCCTTCAATCATGATTTTAAGTTGTTCTGGTGGGCTTTGCGAGGAGCCCTTAGCTGCTAAACCCAGCCCAAGCGTTGCAAGGACCCTTGAGAAATAGAAGAGCTGTGTGCTGTGCGTGAGAAGGCCCAGGTGGTCACCAGTCCCTGGTCAGGAGCAGCCCCACTGCAGAACAGCATGTTAGAAGTGCAATTTATCATCGGTTCCTTGGATTATCCTGGATTATTGAACTGTTTTTAAGTAAGAGAAATTCTTAGAGCAACGTAATTTAAATTGTGAGATTTTAGCTTTGTGGATCTTTTAAATGACAATGACAGAAAGGAGTCCTCTTCAAGTATTTCATGTACAGTATCTCATTAATTTACGTTTTTAGTATGGTTTTACTGGCCAAATTATTTTACTTTTTCTGGAAAATTTTATTCCCTTTTCTCTTCTGAAAATTGTCATTTGTAATATTTAAATTCCGTTCTTTTAATTTACGATTTTAGGACATTTCATGTAGTTTAAATTCTTAGCTGTCATTCGTCACCTCATATTTAAAACAAAGTAACTATTACAAAGTCTATTTTGATGACTCAAGGCAGTAGCTGCATTTAAAATAAAGTATCATTTTTTTATTAACCTGTATGGCCTTAATCTGTGTAGCTATTGGACCAGGAAGCACCAACTAAGAGACTGATTCAAACTAATGTTCACGTAATTTGGGTCTCCCCTTGTTTTCATTCCCTTTTCTTCATGGCCAGCTGTTTCTCCCTCTCTCACATCTTGGAGGGTTTGACAGATATTCTCTTTTTATTTTTTATTTTTTTTTTTTATTTTCCCTCCATTTCTCTGTTTCCCCTTCCCAAGTTCATTTATTTCACTACTAACCTTTCATTCTGCCTCAGCCCGGATGCTGCTTCAGTGTGTGGAAGCTGCTGCAGAAGAGAAAAGCTGCTCTTACCCAACGTATTTTTTCTCAGCCCTGTTGTGTATCACGCCCCAGCGACCTGCCTTCCCTGGGAACGTGCAGCTCAAACGTCAGCAGCATCAGGACAGCCTTGCCCTTTCGCTTGGGCAGCAGAAACATTTTCCAGCTGCACAAATACTCCAGCATCCAGTTATTGACATTTGGGCAGCGTGAGGCAAATAATGATTACGTTGGAGTAATTATAGACCCGTGTCTACCTGCAGAGAGGAGAGAGTCACTTGTGACAGATTGTGTTTGGTCCTTCAGCAGTCTGCCTGGCAGCCACCCTGGGAGGAGAAGCGCAAGAGGAAGAAAACGAGCAGGTAAGAGCGGTCCCTTGCTGCTGTGCAGCTTCTTGGCTCGTTCATCAGTCGTGGAAGCAGAGTCACGGGCAAGGAGGAACCGGGTAAGCGGGGTTTAATTGTAAACCAGAACAACTGGCTGAAGTGGAAGTTCTTCCAGATAAAGCATTGCGATGGGAATAACTGAGACACCAGCCAAGTTTCTTCCTGCCAACGAAAGTCTCTTCAAAACAAGCCCATCTCCCTTCAGCAGCTGTATGTCAGCGGGGGCCTGCGCTGCACACCTCGCTGTGCCAGGCAGCCCTTGTGGGGGCTCCTGGTCTTGAAATCATTTCCCAAATCACTGTTGCAGGGCAGTGCAGCACTGCCCGGCCTTTGGGGCTGGAACAGATCCGTGTCCGCTCCCAGCAGCCTCCAGCTGAACCCTGTCAGCGGCAGCGAGGGCGGTGTAAAACCAGGCAGCACAGTGTGCGGCCAGCTGGAGAGAGGGGGCTTGTTGGTTGGTCAGTTGGTCGTTACACCAATACCTGCTTCCTCCAGTTGGGGCTTTTGTATGTGGAGTTAATTCCAGTCCTTGTTGGGGGTGAAAGGGTGGGCTGCAGGTTTTTTTGCGCCCGTCTGATTAACCCCAACTGCTCCCACCAGCGAGTGAAGCGGCAGCGGGTGCTGGTACAGCTGCTCCCAGCTGTGCACCCGGCTCTCCTGTAGGCTGTGAGGTTTGTTTTGGCTGGCACAGGGGCTGCGCAGTAGCCTTGCTCGGCCTTTTTTCCTGTGGCCTGGATGGTGTCTTTTTAAAAAATAACAAAACCTCAAAACCCAAACAAATCCTCAAACAGGCAAAGCAGAAGCTTGCTTTATTTATGCTCTGAGCCTGCTGCTGCAGAGAATTTTTGACCTTTAGCTTGTGGTGAGGAAATTTGGAGGCTGCTGTCAAAAACAGCTCCGTACACGTGGTCTGTAAGCCTGCAATAATGGGAACACAGCATTGACAAACCACAGTTGCAGCTGAATTGTTCCTTAATATAAAGAAGATAGATATTCTGCCTGACTCTTGTAGAAGTAATACACCTTTAGTTTTTTTTAAATTGTTGCTATTCACGTTTGCAGCAGTGGGTGCGTGGGCCTGGGTCTTCAGCCGGTTTGTGGGGCTGGGCTGAGCCCTCCCATGCAGGTGGTGCCGTACGGCCTCTGCACGCCCAGCCGCTGCAGGACCCTGAGCTGGGCTCCAGGAACAGATGGAGGCGATGGCATTTGGGACAGTGTCAGTTGTTTCTGCAGTGAATTTTTTTTTTTTTTTTTGGCCAAAGCCATATCTGTTCAGTGCTGCAGCCCCGCAGCTCCGTCATCGCAAGTAAAATTTGAAGAAGCGAGGGTTATAAATTTTTCCTGATGACATGCAGTCTGAATCAGTTGACAGTTCCCAGCTAAGGCCCTGCACGGGCTGCCTGGGATTAGGTGGAAATTCAGTTTTCTTCCTGGCTGTGAGTGACTGCTCCCAGCTGACCCTTGGAAATTTGGCTGAATAGTTAGAAGATAAGGAAAAGCCCTATCCTGAGTTACAAGCTGTTGCAGCACTCAGTTTGTCATTGTCACACTGAGAAATGCATTATTTGTAAAAAAACTCTGCCTGGGACTCATTTTTAAGCTTTTGTGTCAAACAGTTCCATCTTGATGAGTCACGGAGCTGGCAGTGTGGCTGACAGCCCCCCTGAGCGTGGCTTTGCCTCGTGGCTCATTTCTTCCTCGTTTCTGAGGTTGGCCTCCCTGTGCTGCCCTGGGTGTGTGCCCGGGTGCAGGTGGGCATTTGGGAGCGAAGCACAGCTCCACACCAGCTGCCCCCACAGCCAGACCCAGGGCTGGGCTCAGACTTCACACCCCCCATCCGCCCCCCCCGGATGCTGGTCTTCCAGCAGCCACCAGCCCTGATATAAATAAGTAACCCTGGAGAACAGCCTGGGCCTGGCTGCTTCCCTGCGATAATCTCAGAGACTTTTCTCAGCCTTGACCCAGCACTGAGGTCGTGATGGAAATGGCTCTGGTGTCGGGCAAGCTCATGGCACCCGGCGCCTGGTTTCACCCCGCACAGCCCCTCGCTCAGCCCCCGCCCCAACCAAAGGAGGCTGGGGGAGAGCCTTGGAAGGGTGAAAGTGTTGAAACACAGGCGTTGAGATAAAAACATTTTAGAAGGGAAAGCAAAAGCCATGCCCCCAGGCAAAGCAAAATAAGGAATTCATTCCTTGCTTCCCCTTGTGCCTGGGGCTGTAACTGAACATCCTCCACGCCCCACATCTTTGGGGCAGCTGTCCTGGCTGTGTCCCCTCCCAGCCCCTTGCCCAGGGCAGCAGGAGCGGCCGCAGATCCTCGAGGTGCTGTGAGCACCGCTCTGCAGTCACTAGACCATCCCTGTGTCCCCAGCACTGCTCTCAGCACAAACTGTAGGGTGCAGGGTGCATGGGAGAAGAGGGGAACACAAGTGCTTCTTGCTGAGGGAAGCAGACACTGAAATCCTGAAAGAACTAGAAGACAGACACCTCAAATGAAACCAGGAGGATATCATTTATAGATGTAAAATATTTTTATTTGTAAATGCTGATCTTCTAAATCTGTTTCCACAATTCCAAAACCCATAACACTCTGTATACTTCAAAAAATTCTTTTTTTTTTTGTGTTGTTTTTTTGTATTTTTTTTGCCAACATTAGATACTATTATACAGAACAGAAAAAACTGTAGGACAAATACTGGTAGGATGTTGGAATATTGTACAAGAGAAGAAAAATATTCAAGAAACAATTTCATACAGCTATTTATCAAGAGAAAAATATATACAATTGATTTATTCTGTAAGATAAAAATACATCATGCCATATACATTACAAGTTCAGAACTGTATTACTGAATATACCAACAGTTTACAGTCCACTTTAATTGTGCACACAAAAAAAAAACTTCATTTTTTTTATATTTAGCCTGTGAAGTGTCAGTACCAGAATTTTAAGTACAAAATAATAAGCTAACCTGGTTCAAAATGCTGATTAAGTTTCTACAAGCAAACACAAAACAGTGTTTATTTTTTTAAAGAAATGTAAACAAAAACAATCCATACAAACACATCTTTAAATTACATTTTCCAAAACCCTATTGCCCGAGTCCTGCAGCTGCAAGCACATTACATCTAATTTTTTTTTCCTTGTTTTCCTTTTAAGAAGGCTATCGTATCAGACTTAAGCTCCAACTACACGATTCTATGCTGTTTACATGATTTACTGTAGGCTGAACAGTCCCCTAATCTTGACTACTTTTGCTGAAGAAAAAAAAACAAAACTGTGTCCAGCCTCTATTTTGGGTGGTTTTAGCAGTTATTCACAGTTATCACAAATTGTAAGCACAAAAAACCTGACTTAAGAAATAGGGATGCAACAATATAATACAAATAAAATTAAATCTAAATTACCCAAACATCTACAAAAGTCAGAGTTGTAATATACACGCCCTTCCCAGGCTTAAGGTTTACTTAAAAAAATTCTAATAAGACCACAGTTGAGACTGCTTGAAACATAAAAACCCCTTTTCTCTTTAAATTGAGATTTTGGTTATCCCGTAATTGTAATCGCATGTCTGTGAACACATGAGATCATATTGTAACATCCCTATTGACGATTTATAATAAGCACCCGAACTGCTGCAGAGTCTGGTAGCATTTGGTCAATAACTATTTTCATACTGTATTTTT